ATTATATGTGCATCCTTGCTTTTATTCAAAGACATGTTCTAAATTCAATGTCTAAATGAATGTTTTAATGGATTAAATATAAAAGTCAGATCTATAAGGTCAAAGGTGTGATATATAAGATTTTCAAAATATGTTAAAAGCACAGCCATCTCAAAAATTCTTAAACCTTAAACTTTTAAAAAAATGTTGGATACAAAGATAAATATAGATTTTTTTTAATGTCTCAAAAATTACAAATTTTTAAAAATATCTAAGACTCTAGGAAAATATTTTTTTCCTAACTAAAACTGCCACAGTACCTCAAAGAGGTAACATTAGGAAACAATATAGATGAGCTACCTTTTCCATAGCTAGCATTAAATGTGAAATGCAAATTAAGGCTTCAGTTTCAGAACCTAACAGAGACGCAGAGTAATAAAATGGGAAGTGTGGAAACACTTGGAAATGCAGAAGCAAAAATTTACTTTGATAAGTAACCCTCAAATCTAATAAATACATTTTAGATGACAATAACTGGTAATTCATTGTCAAAATGACTTTCTTTAGATCACTATGACAAGATCTACACAATCAGAACTACTTCACTGACTTCAAAGACCAAGATTGTTCCTGAAAATATTGTTTAAATGAAGTAGTCACTTGATATCTGAAAGAAATACAAGTACTTATCAGACGTTTATTCTCAGTATGACTAACTTCCCATATTAGTTTTTGAATTGGTCAACTACATTTCCATGGGGAAAAAAGTGATATTAAAAGTTTGCTGCAAGGAACAAAATAATGTGCCTAACATGTATAAATGTGGTGTTCTTTAGTAATCAGGAATGCATTTTGAAGACTCTTGCCAAAAGTGAAACTTTTTCAAATAAAAATCTCAAAGACAATGAAATCCATGTATTTTAGTGTGCACTAAATTCGTCTTACAGAACCTTCTCATTCTGACCACTCCAAATGGCCTGTTATATATGTGACATGTTCTGAGGCTTCTAATTAAACAAACCACCTAATTATTAGCAGAAATGCAATATTTATATTCCATAAAAAAAGTTTGATGCAAAACTTATACAGATCATCTAAAGTCCTCAATAATATGAAAGTATATTTTGTTACCAAAATGGACACCTCCAGAAAGGTCCAGTCCTCTAACTCAACTCCTCTTTTTGGGAGGGAGTCTCATTCTGTCACCCAGGCTGGAGTGCAGAGACACAATCTCGGCTCACTGCAACCTTTGCCTCTCAAGTTCAAGTGATTCTCCTGCCTCAGCCTCCTGGGTAGCTGGAATTACAGATGTGTGCCACCACACCCAGCTAATTTTTGTATTTTCAGTAGAGACAGGATTTCATCATGTTGGCCAGGCTGGTTTTGAACTTCTGACCTCAGGTGATCCGCCTGCCTCAGCCTCCCAAAGTGCTGGGATTATAGGCGTGAGCCACCGTGCCCGACCTAACTCAATTCCTCTTAATAGTAAGACAGCAATTTTGTTAATGTACGCAGTATCCCAGCGATCTAGGAAATGCCACAGATGAGGTCTCTAAATTTTCTTTCATGGAAAAATTTAAGTTCAAGTTCATTTTCATTCACAAAATACAATCTCTAATTTCACTATGGTAATATTATAAAGCATCACAGTTTATTTACACAATTTATTACTAATTTCCAAACATCAACTCAGAGTACCTGGGATGTTCCTTTACAATGGAGGAGCAAAATTGCAAGGTGGTTTTCTGCAGATGGGCTCACTGTGCTGCTTTCAAATGCTCTATAAACCCTCAGTTCTCACCCACAAAGTTACCTCTCACAAATTTTCCACACACTTACTGTCCCACACATATTTTCAGATTTTTCCATTTGGGAGTCATATATCTGAAAAAGGCACTTAACAACAGATCATTGTTTATGATATTCACAGGCCACCGAATTGCTCCTAATTTCGCCAAACATGTACGTTTTGAAAGGAATGATGATGTTTTGAATCAAACCAGTGCACTAAACGCTAGACTTACTACCCTGCCAACCCCACCTTTCTCCACCCCAAAAGTAACTGTTACAAACACCACGGGTTACTCAAGAAAGAGAACTTGAGAGAGTAAGCAAACGCCAGTCTCCGTGATTAAAGGGGCCTTCTACACAATGCCTCCTCGGGTTTTTAATAATTCTTTCCACTCATACACTGCAATGTTTCTATAGTATTGACTGGCATTAAATTAGACCTTCAAAGCTGTGTAAAATTTCATTATAAATTAAAATGCCTATTTGAAAATAAGTTTTGAAATGACAATTACTTGTAGATGAATACGAAATGAACATTTTAAATTATCTTAATAATAACCCACAGCTGAATTCTAAACACTAAGAATCATAAACTGACTTATGCTGTGGGAAACTCAGTGAGACAAGGTTTCTGGGGGTGCTGTAATCCCAATAAAGCATCTACCTATGTGAACAAAATCATCCAGCTTCCCTGTATGAAGAATCTGCATACTTACCCAGGGAGGCAAATGGAAAGTACACAGGGAGGAAGATGAACTGCCGCAAAGCCTTTGTCATATGATAGTGACCTATAAAGTATCAAATAAAGGTACATCATCAGTATGGTAGGGCTTTACAATAGTACAGTCCCAAGTCCTGTAACATCTACGAAGAAAGGGTACCAACACCCAGGAGTCCAGTTCCCAGTAACCCTTCCCCTCTCTCTACCACCCCTCTACTGGAGACCTGTGGGAACAGTAAAGGCAAAGACGCTCCCTGTATTCAAAGGGCAGAGACTGGGGGCAGCCCAGCTGGCATTCTAGGGTGTCTCTAGCACTCTCGCTTCCTACTCCCCATATGTATAAAGCAGAAAGTTGATCCATTCTGCAAAGGTAAAACCCACACCGCGATCATTCATCAACTTGCGCAAGTGATCGTCGCCCCCAGGACAAATATACCAGTAAGCAAATCATAGGGATCGATGGGCAGCCCGAGCCTCGCCTAGCCCAGGAGCCGGCAGGAGGTGCCACCACGGCGGCAGCGGGTCCAGGTATCGCAGCCTTTCAGACTTGGGCGGCCACAGCCTTCTCCCAAACACCCAGCCCAGGTCACGATCCCTAGATAGGAGATCGGAACCGACCGGGGAAAACGTATTTGCCAAAGCCCACAGCGGCAAGTGCAGGGCCACCAGGGCTGCGAGGTCGGAGTGGGGGGAGCGAGGAAACAAGGAGGGAGGAAGAGAGCGAGGGATCCCACCCCGGCTTTGTTGCTGGTCACCATCAAGTTTGCATCTTAGTACAAAATGTCGATCTTAAAGGCTGACAAGACAGAGGCAGAGGCAGAGGGAGAAAGAGAAAGGGAATAGAGTCCATCTTGCTTTGGGAAAGAGGGGGGAGGAAAAAATGAAGTGCAAATACCACACTCCGGGCGTAAAAGTCTGCTAAACACCTTTCCATAACGGAGGAGCAACGAGTGGGGTGTCCCCGTGCCCGTGCCTGATCGAACTGGCGGCGGTCTGGGCAGAAAACGCCTCCCTCTCCTCCTCTTCCTCCTCCTTCCCCTCCTCCTTCTCCCTCTCCTCCTCCTCCTCCCGCGGGCCCCTGCGAAGATCCCGCCGCCACTGCCTCAGTCTCCGCTGCCCCCCAGGGAGGCACCACCGGCGCCCGGCCCCGCGCTGCCATTCTGGGCTTGGACCGCGCAGCGCAGAACGCGTGGGGCTGGACTCGCGGTGGCCACGCGGGGACGTCCGCGCCGGGGACACCCGCGCCCCTCGGTCGCTAGCTGCCTACAAAAGTCGCTCGAGCAGAGGTGGTGGCGGCGCGCAGGGGCGCGGGGCCGCGTGGAGGCCCCCACACCGCGAGTGGGCAACCCCAGGGGATGGCAAAGAACGTCCCTCCCCGTGCGGGGAAAGTACCCCAGTCCCAGTCAGCCACCCCAGGAACAGCAGCCCCACGTCCGTGGCCAGGAGAAGAGAACTGGACGTGTCATTAGCAGGACAGGCAATGGTTTCAAAGCCCCAGGCCAATGACCATTAGCAGAGGCAGAGCTCGCTCCGTCCCCATCCCCCACAACCTCCACCCACCTTCCCCTTCGCCCCCCCCACCACCTCCACCCCACCTCGCGAAACTTTTCAACAAGATCCACCTGGACTAATTTGTCCTCAGACAGTTAAAATATCGACTAGACCCTAAACACCGGGAAGGAAGGGGAATGCACGCTTTATTTTCCTTCCTACAGAAAGGAAAGCAAAAAATAGCTTCTCTCTCTGTCTCTCCCTCTCCCCCCCCTGTCGTACATGTTGTGTCTTAGCTTTTTGCATCGTTTCGTTTTACCTTCCTCATTTAGCAGAAATGATCGCGGTTATTTCACACATAAACGTGTTCCAGATTCTGGGATTCAGGGTCCTTGTAAATTACAGGACTCGGGTTCGGTCTCAGTTATGTTAAGTTTCATACAATACCAAAAAATAAATAAAAAATAATAATAAATGTCTGAGGTTGAGTGAGCGAGACGAGGTGGAGGAGGAAAAGAAACCTCCAGTCTGATTTCTGTAATTTACTAGCGACCCGGATCGCAGCAAATAACAGTGTTACACGAGTGTGGCTTAAGAGGGCTGGGGAGCTCTTTCTAGAGGCATCGACCCCATCCCCGGATAAAGGATCTGCAAGTTTTCTGTCATCGCGACCATGCCAAGCCGTAACTTACCTTCAGAAATAAGACTTTAAACGGCCAAGGCCTTCCTCCTCCCCTCCACCACCACCCTCAGCCTCGCTCTCTCCACCTTAAACTTATTGACACAACATAATCCCACATTCAAGCAAAATCCTGACACAGCCTCCCTCCTCCTCTTCCCCCTCCTCTCTTCCCTCCCGTCCTCTCTCTCTCTCCCTCTCTCTCCGTCTCCCTCTCCCCCCCCTTCCCTCCCGCTTCTCTCTCCCCTTCTCCCTCGCCCTCTTCCCCCTCTCCCCCTATTCTTCCTCCAGGCTACTCTGGCACTAAAGCAGCACTTTCTCTAGTCGCCGCGCATTTGGGAAGGGGTGGGGGGCGAGAGGGCACCGATGTGCGGGGCCGGAACACCCAGACCCCAACTCTCCAGAGGAACGGGCGACCGGGCTGCTGTTCCCGGTCACCAACGCACACGAAACGTTCAATCAATCCACGGAAGGCTGGCTCCCCGTACCTTCCTCCCCTGCCCCGGCTCCCCAGGCCCCACCTCCCCGGCTGCCGAGACCAGGCAGGGCTCCACGTACTTTCGCCGAGATGAAGTTTGGGGCTCCCCGGGCGGCCACGAGCCGCCCGCCGGCGTGAGGGCTCCGTTGTTGTTTTCCTGGGGCCGCTCCAGCCCGCGCCCCGGCGCCCGTGCCCCTCTCGGGCGGCGCTGCCTGTGTGCCGAGAGGTGCTGCTTGCAAACGCAGCCTGGCACCGGCTGGCCTACTACTCCCCGGCCCGGCCCCCAGCCTCCCGCTCGCAGGGCACTGCCTCCCGGCCCCCCGCCCCCGGCCCCCGCCGGCGCGGCCGCCGCGACCCTCGCCCCCGACCTCTTCCGACCCAAAGTTTTGGCGGAGGGGGAAAGTGTCCGGGCGGCGGGCCGGCGGCGGCGGCGGCTCCGGACGCGCGGGGTTCCCTCCGTCTTCCTCAAGTCCACCCTACCGGCTGCCGCCGCCGCTGCTCCTGCCGCGGAGTCCTTGGGGCTGCAGCCCGGCGGCTCGCAAGTGAGTAGGAAAACAGAAAGTGAGGGGAGCGCGCCCGGGGAGGGCTGGGGCTGGGGGGCGCCTACCTCGCGGGCTCGCCGGGGCGTCAGGGCGTGTGTGTGGCTCGCCCTCGGCGGCCAGTCAGGGTCTGTCTATGGGAAAGTGCAGAGGAGCTCGCGGAGCCGCTCTGCCTCCGCTCCACTGTACACTGCTCCACATACAGTACATGCAAGCCGGAGAGACTGAAAACACTCATTTTATATAAGGCAGCCTGCCATTGGCCCGCGCCGTAACGGACAGGCCGCGCAGCCAAACAGCAGGCCCGTTACACCCAAACACACGCACACACACACACATTTCACAGAGACACACAAAGATCATCACATTCTCTGTTTTCTAATGTTCGGGACCTGTAGACAGTAGGAGAGGACAGGTAGGGGAGCCCAGCGGAGTGGGGTAAAGGGGAAAACCCCCGTCTGCAGCAAGTTGCAAGGCTTGGAACTGGTGTCCTTTTGACTTGGGAGGGTTATGGTAATAAACTACAACTCCACTGGATATGGAAGTGAGGGGGTTTTTTCATCGCTGCCTTTCGGTGCCCCATGGAAGAGGCCTGCGTTGTGTTTCGATTTTCCAGTCTGACCCGGCCAAAAAGTGGCCAAGAAACGCTTTTATCGGCTTGGATTTCTTTTGTCAATGGGTTAGCTATCACATAGGCCAAAATAGTGCCGATAAGTTTATCAGGACTATAATGCATTGAGGTTGTTCATGCCTCATTCGTGGGTAAATTTAAAAAAAAAATCAACATAACAACACGCAAAGATAATTTTGCTGAAAACAATCAACACCGCGCTGAAATAGCCAAACGACTCGCATCTGCTCAGAGTACTGCCATCACCTGTGCGGACATGCACAGTGTGCTATAAGGGAAAATAAGTCATGGAAGATAAGCTATTGACGCTTAGCCTTCAAAAGAGACCTTTTGATTCAATGTATACAACATTTATATTTTGCATATTAGACATAAAAATATACGATTCTTTACATACTTCACATCTCATGTGAACATTATGCGTTGCATGACTTTTGGACATGATGACTTTCAGGACTGGTCTTTGATTATTTTTTCAACAACGCATCTTCGGCAGATTATATTTGACAGTTCAGTATAAAGTCAACAGGTTGGTGGAAAGAAACCAAAGCTGGAAATTAGAAGGAATAAATTGTAGATTAAACTCTTTAACCAGCTGAGCAATCTTGAGCAAGTTACTTAACCTCTCCAATGCTCAGAGTTGCTTTTGATTTTGGTTTTAAGATTAAAATAAGCAGCTTTTCCACATTCCCTCAATTAAATTTTTATTCAGCATCTACCATGTGCCAGACATTGTCTTAGGCCTAGATATTTTCTTAGGGTTCCTTCCGTTTTAAGAGTCAGTGAATTATTCTTAAATACAAACATTTTGGAGATCACATAAACACTACAGTTTTAAGGCCTAGGTATGTAGCTTTAAAACTTAAAGGAAACCTGAATAAGAGAACGTATTTCAATTCCCCTTTTATTTCCTTGATGCTGTCTTAAGTTTTTTCTCTCACAACCAGAAAGTTGTTAAGAGTGTGTATGTGTGTACATGCAAGCACTCCTATGTAAGAGGGAGAAAGAGAAACAAAATCAGAGAAAAGTTTAAGAAGTTCAGAAAACAAAGTGGCATTTAGGAATGTGATGTTTATTTTGTAAGAAAAATCATTTGTAAAAGGAAACATATAAAAATCACAGCATTTTATTTTTTAAATTTTACTTACTTTTATTTTTTGAGTTGGAGTCTTGCTCTGTCGCCCAGGCTGGAATGCAGTGGCATGATCTCAGCTTGCTGCAACCGCTGCCTCCCAGATTCAAGAGATTCTCCCACCTCAGTCTCCCGATTAGCTAATGCCCATCTAATTTTTGTGTTTTTGTAGAGACGGGATTTCACCATGATGACCAAGCTGGTCTTGAACTCCTGACCTGAGGTGATCCATCCTCTTCGGCCTCCCAAAGTGCTGGAATTACCGGCATGAGCCATGGAGCCCACCCAATCACAGCATTTTAAAAAGATAATATCAAAGGTTATATTAACGGCAGTTTATTTTAGTTGACAGAAGGAACAAAATGTTCTTTATCCACATTACACTGCTATGAGGACGGTGCTAAGTATTACTGTCTCTAGTTTACCCATAAGAGAAACGAGTCAGGGAAAAATTATATAGCCTGCTCCATATTGCACAGAATGACAATGAAGAAGGAACTTAAACCTAGGACGTTTAATACCCAGCGCAGGTTTTGAGTAATTTGATACTTCCCTCCAAATACGAACTTCAGAGACAAGAGGGAATTGGAGGGAAAACCAAAAAACTTTTTTAGTATTTCACTGTTGCTCCTTTGTGAAAAGGAAAAAAAGTCAACAGGAGGTGCTATATTTAATTACAGAGTGAAGTGTTGGGCATTATTTGGTAGTAGAAGTATTTTGTGAAAAATAGAAAAGACCAGCCTACTCCCCACTCTTATCCCCAAACTCCAACCATAGGAAAACATTCTTCATATTTTTATGGTCACAAGATATTTTTGCTGAATTACACTTAGCTGAACAGAAGTATTTAGAGCTATAGTCTTCAAACTTTTAGATCACACATTGCTATCAGTAACATATTTGAGCATGTATAGATATTTATGTACACATTAAAAATTCTAAAAATTCACCACTGGGCCAGACATCGTGGCTCACACCTATAATCCCAGCACTTTGGAAGGCCAAGGCAGGAGGACTGCTTGAGGCCAGGAGTTCAAGACCACAAGTTTGAGACCAACCTGGTCAAGATAGAGATACACTATGTCTACCAAAAAAAGAAAAAATGTACCATTGCATAGATATATTATTTATTATTATAAATCATATATTGACAAAAACAAAATTTAAAAGCATGAGATAAAAAATAAATAAGAGTTTAATTTCTTCTGTAGTCCATGGAAGTATGGATTCTAATGTAGAATCTCAGCACATGCCCCAGGACTTTGCACTCCAATTTGAACTCCTCTGACAGGAAAGGTGCTAACTGATCAAGACTGATGTGGAAGAGCATAAAATGTATTTTGGTGACATTCTGTAAGTCATTATTGCTGCTAGAAAATTGGTAGGTCCACAGGGCCTTCAGATTAAGAGAATGATTTTTTTTAACACAAAATATATATTGGTAGTGTATTTCCATTGGGCATCATGTTCCAGTATAAGCCATTTTTCAATATTCTTTGGCAGAATATTTATTGAGAGGGTTCTATGTGCTCTTGTGCATGTCAGATGTCAAAAAAAAAAAAAAAAAAAAAGTTGCCTGTTCCTAGGAGAAGGGACAAAGTAGAATTCCATTCTCCTGTGTAATCAGTAGGACCTCACTGCTAAGTAAGGAAAGGAGGCATAGAGCTAACTTTGATGTAGTATTTTACCATTTTGGAAGTACTTTGAAAATGTTTATTACCTCATTGGAGAATAAATATCAAGAAATTTTAAATGCTAGCTATGCTCAAAATTTAAAACGTAATCAGGAAAAATCATGGCTTTCATAGAGTTTACTTAATTTTTATAATGTAGGTTTATGAAAATAAAAACAATGGTTTGTTACTTGGGCAAAATGGCATTACAAAGTGATGACCCCTTCCCTTCTTGTTTTCACGTTTGATGACCAGTCACAGACTGAACTCATGATTATCCTATTTCTCTGCCTTGTAACTTTGATTGTCTGTTTTCTATATTTTATTTTATATGGGCCATTTTTGTGACATAAAATAATTTTGAAAAAGTAAATTTATGTGTTTAAATGTGTATAAACAAATGTGTATATCATTTAAATATATGTCTATATATAACAGTTTATTTCCTTATTCATATATGACTTCTTTATACAATCCTAGTACAAATCTTGATTTTGCCACTTTCTAGTTGGATAAGCTTGGAAAAATTCTTTAATTACTCTGACTCAGTTTTCTTGCTTATTAAATGGGAATAATCATAATTGAAAAAATACATATAAAATGCATCAGCCTGGAACATACTAAGCATTCAATCAGTATTATTTGTGTTTATCTTTCCACACAGATAAACCAACGGCAGATACTAAACAGAAAGTTTTCTAAGACTTAACTATCATATCAAATGGAGTTTATGGAACTCCATTTGATATGATAGTTTATGTTACAACTTACTTCCCCAGTGTTTGCAATTTCCTTTTAGCCTACACTCTACCAACTCCACCATCTCTGCACATAAAAGAGATGTCAGCCTGATCCCAGGATAAAGCAAACATCTTATTGGGTGGGCATTATTAAGCACCTAAAAAAGCACACTTGTAATAAATCACTCTTTGAAACAGGCCTTGTTTTGTGCATGAAACTTCAGATAGTTACAATGACGAGGGTCTGCCTTACATAACAATTTATGACTTGTACTTGACCTTGCTGAGCTTCAATGTTTTATCCCTTTCTATAGGAAAAAAAAAAAAATTAGGGAAAATCATACCTTTCTCCTCAGGCCAATGCGAAGGCAGTAGAAATAAGAGCTTGGATAGGTGGTCCACTTTTAGCACCCATGCAGAAATTCATAATCTTGAACAGAACCAGCTTCTATTGTGTCACAGAAGACTTGGGGATAAGAAAGAAAGAGGGGAATACCTTCCTTTCCTAGGATGATTCTTGGGGCCAAACATCTTTGAATTCCCACTGTCCTGTGATCTTTCATAGCATTTTATCTATATTATTCTTAAGGCATACAAATATCTTGCTTTGCATTACATTATGTATGTATTGGTAGAGCTCTCTATTCGATGGCAGACAACTTGAAGGAAATGTTCAAGGTTTTGTTTCCCAACAGCGCTAGAACAGTAACTAATAAATTGCCTAACATGTAACAGTAATAACAAAGATTTGTAAAATAAATGAAGACAAGCAAAAGCAAACAAAAAATACCTTAAATTCTAAGGAAGCTCAGGGAGAATCCAAGGAT